TGAGCAGTGGACCTTTCTCATTCGTTTGCGTTTAGCAATCCCTGTTCTAAGGGCCAGATCCCAGTGGCAAAGAGGATTGGAAGAAGTGTCTGAATCTGGACCGTGTTCCGGCGAGGTGCAAAACCTGTGATTGATCTGCTTTTCTGCAGCTCTGCGTGGAACACGTCCAGATTCAGACACTTAATTCCCTGTCTCTTATACAGATACGGTCTTTCCCTGTTCTAAGGGCCAGATCCCAGTGGCAAAGAGGATTGGAAGAAGTGTCTGAATCTGGACCGTGTTCCACGCAGAGGTGAAGAAAAGTAGATCAATCACAATTTTTCGCACCTGTCGTCAAACACGTCCAAATTCAGACACTTACTACAATCCTCTTTGCCAGTGGGATCTCTCCCTTAGGAAGGACAGTCATCTGGGGGCCAACTTTCAGTCTAGATACAGCGGCCATGACCGTGCGTTCTATTCGGAGCGCGGCTGTGGCTAGCAGAATGGACCCCTATGGCCCCCCTAAGGTAACCAACGTGGTAAGCCCCTACCACCTGGACCTGCTGCTGCGGCCCCTTGCAATTTTTATTTTTTTTTGCCCCTTGCAATAAACCTATGGACTGCTGTTCGCAGCCCTTAGGCTGCGGTATAGTGTGCTTCCGCGTCTGTGTCAAGGTGTCGCGTTTTTGGTGGCAGGCGACCAGGACGCAAAGTGGGTTCTTAGGGGACAAAATGTTTTGGGGGACCGGTCCTTGGCAAAATTGCGGACTACCTACAGCTAGCTCTTCTAGAACCGGGACTTTTGGAAAAAGGAGGGACCGGTCCTCCGGTGGAAGCGCATACCCCGAAATACCCCGAAAAGAAGTGAGGGGCACTTTTCGGCAAACGAGTCCTTGTGCATGTCGTCCTTGGGGCACTTTTCGGCAAACGAGTCCTTGTGCATTTCGTCCGTGGTGGACTGAAAGGTCTGTAGCACAGTGCAAGCGCAGCGCACGATATCCCAGCGCCGCGCTTTGACATTGCCACGATCTCTTGGCGATGTGAAGCGACGCGAAGATGTCATCGAAACGGGGCCCGGCGCATACCAGATGCATGCGCCACTTTTACGATCACAACATCTCGGCGCGAGTGGAGGTCAG